TCACATACCTAATCCCATTTTGGTTGAAAAATCTCCCATCTGTGAGTCTGGTGTCACCAAGAGAATCAGATCAGGCCTGATAGAATGGATCGTGTCAGTCACCTCAAGGCAGGCATGCAAGGGACACAGAGGGTCATCATCTGGCAGACTGGTAGGATTGAGGCCTGATATCTTGTGGAACCAAATGAGGGGTTGATCCAGAAGCAGGGCTTGGTATTTGGTTGCCCAGGCATTAGATATCCATCTCTCAGGTTCCCTTCTCAGGAGGATCTCAACAGAGTGTGGGGCTGTCTGGAACAGTTTGTGCCCTAAAGTTAATTTGTCAGGGCTTCTGTTGGCTTGTTTTTTTTATCATCAGGGTAGTAGCAACTATAACCCTTATACATGCTAGCCATCCAGCTGTGACTGGGTCAAATCTCTTGGACTGGTCTTTTCCAGGATCCCAGGGTTTGCATGAGGACCTCTTTAGGCAATGCCTCTGGTCTTGTCCACATACAAGGGAAATGTCTTATTAATGCCTGTGAGGGCCAAAGCTGTGGCAGGACCTTTTTAAAAGGCCCTCTGCTCAGTCTCAGTTCATTCCAAAGGCTGCATATGCCTGGGCTTGGCCATCTCAGCAAATGGTTTACAGTATCCAACCACCCCCAGGAATCCCCACAGCAGGATGGCTGAAACATGGCATTTCACAAGTGCCTGCTTTCCTTCCTTTAGATTGTATCCTGGGTATATGACCTAAAGGATGGAGTCTTGTTAGCTGAGACTCTGTACTCTCTAAACCCCAGGGGTTTAGAACTACTAAAAGGCCTTCTGCTATCTGTCCACATCTTGCTCATTAGTCAGGGCTACAAGGCCATCTACACATACTGGAGCAAAGTGCTTCGTGGATATTTTTTCTAAATTCCAACAGATCTGAACTCAGGGCTCCAAAAATCAATGCTGGTAAGTCCCTGAGTTCCTTATCATTGTCTGTTTGTCTCATTTGTCTCATGTATGTTTCCCTAAGGGCAGAAATCACCACACAGGAGTTTCCTTCCCTGTTGTCAGCTGAACCTCAGCGGTTGTAAACTCTCTGAGCAGTTTCTGAAAGTTGAATCTATTTATTCCTTCAAATATTGTTAATTTCTGGAGCTTTCTCATTATGTCTTGAGTCAACTGTATGACAAAGGCAATACTAGTGGCACACTTGGTTTTTGGAGGGGGGCATCTGGGTCTATAGGAGTAAATACCCAATTTATGTCACATAGCCTCTCCAGAAACCTAGAATGCAAATCTGGCTACCAACACTTTTAATCCTCCCAATGATGTTTGTTGAAGAAAGTCATCCAAGGCCCTCTTACCTTAAAAGTTTCCAATGGGTTGTTTCCAACAGGCTCTGAAGGGCCTGCAGCTTCTCCAAACATGGAGGGTTTGGGGGGGGTCTTCCAATACATGCATTCCTGGTAGAGGAGACATAAACCGTGAACAGGGAAGGATCTGAACTTCTACTTTCTCCCTGGTGATACATCAGGTAACTATTTGCTCCTCTCCACAATCAGGATTGAGAACAGGCATATGTTTTGGGCTTTTCTGGGCAATCTAGCTGCCCCAAAAGAATTTGGGTCACCAACAAGAGGGCACAGGTCTTAAGCCAAGGGGGTATGTGTCTTGCACCAGAAAAGCCATTGGTTATAACAGTTAAATTGGTGGCTGTAGTTGGTATATCTACATACACGTGTTTATATGAATATATACTCCTACAAATACATAAAATGCATATTTAAAATGAACTCTAATTTCAGATTGACACTAAATATCAATTTTGATGACCCCCCCATACACACTCCTTTGTTTCCTGTATAGCCTTGGAGTCATAATTTTTAGAGTCAGCTAGTCAGAGCTTATCAGCTGTTAATATATACCAGTTATCTGCGAGAAATTGCTGACTAGAAATGGGGATGGTGTTGAGTACTGATCTTCTCAACGTACTTTTATGTTTTCAAACTGCCAGGGCAGTTGAGTATAATTTACATTGCAGAGATACTGAGAAAATTGCTTTGGACTCACTCTAATGTGAAGCAAATGTTAATCTCTAGGGTATCTGCAAACATAAACAAGAGTCAAAGAGATCAGTCCCAAAAGTGGGCAACAAAGCATTCCATTGCGAGTAAAATGAGAAGGCCTCGCTCAAGAGACTAAAGTCAGCTGTGCGCTTCAGCATTCCCAACAGGGACCACTGTTCACGTACTGCAATGAAAACTACGATGAATTATTTTTGGCTCCACAGAGCATTTTTCTCATAAAAAGGTGTATGTAGTGTGGTTGTTTGAATAAGAATAGGCCCCCATAACCAGGCTGTGGTGGCACATGCCTTTAAGGCAGGCGGATAGGACAGCCAAGGATACACAAAGAAACCCTGTTTCAAAAAACGGAAACAAAAAAACAACAAAAAGGACCCCATAGGCTCATACATTTGAATGTCTAGTTCCTAGCTGCTGTAATGTTTGAGCAGGATTAGGAGGCGTGACCTTGTTGGACAAAGTGTCATTGGGGATGGTGTGCTTTTGAAACGTCAAAGCTTTTTCTCTGCTAGCAGATCAGGAAATCTCAACTACTTCTCCACGACTATGCCTGCCTGCATGATGTCATGCTCGATGCCATGATAATGAACTAAGCCTCTGAAAATTAAGCAAGGTCTCATTAAATGCTTTCTTACTGAGATTTGGCGTAGTAAGAGCCTGCCTAGCGCCAAAACACCCACCAGGGACTGCCTGTCCTGAGTGGGAAGGAAAGAACACCAGCCCTCACCTGCCATGTGGCGGCATTGGCAAGGGAAAGATGCCATTTCCCTCACCACCTGCAGGAGGGAGAGCGGACACCCCTGCCCTCATCAACTGCAGTACTCAAGAGAGCAGGCTCTGAACTTAGCCTGGGCAGCACTGAAGAGCTGACCCTGTTGGTGGGGGATGTGGTAAGCCAGCCCTGAAGGTGAGAGCAGAAGAGCTGACCCCACCCCCCTCACCTACCAGGTGCATACCTTTAATCCCAGCATTTGGGAGGCAAATGCACCACCTAACACCCCGCCAACTATTTACAATTTTTAATTGCAAAGATTTAATTATCACATGTCCACCAAAATTTCCCATCATTTCTAGAGATATGACAACAAGTGATATTTTTGAAAAAAGCTTTATTCATTTATGCAGACAGTATCAGCAATAGGTAATAGGAACATACTTTTAAGTTTAAAATTAATCTTCCATTTTGAAAGGTTCAGTACTTGTCTTTCTCTCTTCTCTTAAATACTTGACTTCAACAAAAGAGCAGATGAAAGTTTATTCCCTTACTTTTCCTTAAAGCCATACAGCAACAATTACAATTGTTTTTAGAATTTAGGGTATCATTCATAGTAAGCTGGAGATTTAATCACAGAGTGGTACATGTAAGAATATAACACACATAAAAATACAAATATACTGAAATAAACAAGGGACAGATAAAAAGAAAAAATTTCAGGACACTTCCTAGTTTTTCTGGTATACTGACCTCTTGGTAACTTAAAAATATTTTGTTCTTCAGATACAGAATAAAATTAAGAGTTATAGATCATATTATGGACACTTGTGACACACCCCATGGTGGTTCCATTAAATTAGGGTTCAGTAGAATCTCTATGTTTGAGGGAAGGACTAATACAAGGCAGGCCAATAAGGCATTTTAAAACTCATGTCCATGGCAGGTCAGTTATGTCCATCCAATTGTTTCCTTTAGAAAGGTACTGTCCCAGTGCTACATTCGTAAGGCTTAGCCCCTCAACAGCTCATAACTGTTACTTGCCTACTTTATACCATGGAACAAATCTGACAAGAATGGGAGTACAGATTACAAACGACTGTGGGCACAAAGGGTTTTTGCTGTCACGATGCATAATGTCCAATGAAGACACCATCTAATCTAAAATCAGATTAACTACCACATTCTTGGGATACAATTATGAAACAAATTTTGTGGTTTAGAAATGTCAAAATTACCTACTTTGACTGTTTTGGACATATTTTTCTTTACAAAAGGAAATACAACAGACTAATAAAACTAAGGATCTATTTACTTTGTAACAACTTATATTTTGAATGTTTTTATAAAAATTTCTTTCAGATACTCTGATTAAATTTTAAGTGACATAAAAAATTTTCAGCACTCTTTAATACCAGTATTTTGCACAATTTTAAGACAGCCATTGAGTTTAGCATTTTAAGAAAATGAGAGTATCAACTCACTGAAAATAGCTTATACACCTAGCAAAGTTTAGTTTGTCTCGGATTCTTTAAACAAAATTATACCCAGAATTTTAGATATCCTAATTACCATCCCAACCAAATAAATAGGATATGTGCGTATGTGTGGCTTCTAGCTAAAGGGTAAAATATTTTGTATAAATGTAAGACCCACTGATTGGACTGTTAAGAATCTGTTTTCCTGGGTTTAGATAAGGAAGACTTCAAATAAAGCTAACGATATGTTGAGTTCCACTGATTAAAAATGCAGTTCTAAAAATTCTGCTCTTGTGGCAAATGTTTAGACAAATAATAAATGTAAAGCACAATACTGTACTGTTCAGGTACCTGTTGAGAAGTGAAATGCTTGTAGTCAAACTATCAAAATTCTGACCTTTCAAAATAGTATTATAAAATCTTTTTTCTTGAAAATTAGTACTTGCTTTTGAACTCTTTAAATGCCAATTTCAATTAAAAGTCCTTAAGTCTTAAAAGTTATTCCTTTTAACTATTTTTCAATTATTTGAAAATTATTTTTATCCTTTTTTACTTGCAATTATTTTTTTCAACTATATAGTGAACACGAAACAGTTTCTATATAAACATCTAATGAACAGATTCAACATAAAACTAGGCAATCTAATCTAACTTGTATATAAAGTCTGAGTGTGATTTGTCAAAATTTCTGCAATAGTGAAAACCTTTCCGTCTCTTAATACTCAATACCAACACCTTCCTGAGACTAGAAAGTTAGCAGAGATGATCAGATTTAAGCACTGCTCGGCTTCTTCTAAAGTGATGCACTCTTTTATCCTAGAAGAGAAAAAAGTCATTGTAAATCACTGAAAATTCCTTACTACCACCACTGATCTAAGAATATTAAATAGCTAATGTGTGGTTTAAATTTAAATGTAGGAAATTAGGAAAACAACAAATTCACCAACTGGTAAGGCTTTATTAAATGACAAAATTAAAAAGGAATCCCAGTAAACGAAAATAGGGGTTAAAATTAGTACTATTTTAGATAATTCAATAATTTGGCAGGTGAACCAAAGCCAGCTAGTAGTGATTCTTAAAAGTATTATTTAAAAAATTTCACTAGAATTTGCATGTACAAGGATGCATGCATACCTATGTGCCATGGCCCATATGTGGAGGCCAAGAGGACAATTTGCAGGGTCCGTTTCTCCCCTATACCATACATAGGTTTCAGGGATTAAACATAGGCCATAAGGCTTGATGGCAAAAGCCTTTACCCACTGAGACATCTTGCCATCCAAATAAAAGAAAAACCATCCAACAAAACAACAAAGTAACCCCAAGGCTTGGGTCTGGAGAAAATGGTCTGGGGGTAAAGAGCACTTATTCTTCCAGAGGATGTGGGCTGGACTTTCAGTACAACCATGTTTCAGCTCACAAACTGTTAACTCTAGTTCCAGAGGATCAGACACTTATCTGGTTTCTGTGAGTACCGGGCACATAGGTAGTGCAGATGTACACACAGGCAAAGCACCAGTATACAATCAAATGAGAGAAAACTAAAACCCTCCTCAAACAACGAAAACAAACACCCACCTATTGTTTTTTATTAACAATTGCATCTCACAGAAACCACATTTGAGAGCAGCACTCTATTTCAATTTGAAATCCTTCATTTTGATTAGAAGCTCTACATCTTGTATATTTAAGGCTTATCTTTAATCTGTGAAGATGTATCATACTTTACGAAATGAAGGTAAGGAAATTTAAAATGTTTTTTAAGGGTATTGGTCCTAGGAACACTCTTCCCTATGGATATGGAAACCTAAGAATTACTCATATCTCTTATATAAAATTGTATGTTTGCATATATACTGGCAATCTTTCTGTATACTTTAAATTTCTCATTGTTCTACCTAATATGAGAAGTTTTACTTCATTGTGAGCAATAAAAACAAAAAAGTCTGTACATGTTCAGTATAATTTAAAATGTGCATATAATTTAATTCAAGGGTAGAACACATGGATACAGAAGACTGATGTATACAGAAATATTTCCTTTCCTCTGTTGTTTACAGAGATGTAGATATAGGAAAAGAGAGGCCTTAAAAGAGAAAGGGGATTAATAAAATAGCATTTTATTTTCTACACAACTAGCTTATCATGCCTTTTTCCTGGGGGCCAGACTGCATTATGTAAAGAGAATGACTTCTATGTGGCTGGAAAAGTGGCTCATTTGGTAAAGCCTGGAAATATGAGTTCAGGTCCTTAGTGTTCCCCTTAAAAAGCTGGAATTAGAGGTGCACTATATAATCGCAGTCCTGCAAGAATAGAACCTGAAACAAGCAAATCCCTACAGCATAGGTCAGCCAGCCTAGCCAAATGGAGAATCTCCAGATTCAGTTGAAGATCCTGTTTCAAAAATAAGGTGGTGAGGCACTAAGTCTACTTCTGATTGCCACAAGCACCCTCACATGTATACAGGTACACACACACTGCCATGCAGCCCGTCAATTGGATAACATCCAGTTTGGGTTGGGGCCTAGAAAAGTGGTCACAAATGTATACATTTTTAGAGGTGATTTAGGAATTAAAATCATGGGGCTGAAGTTAAAATAATGGGATTTATGATGGATATAAACAATGCATCCAATTTCAATAAAATCAGCACTTAGTTGCTTATAATAGGTCTGTGACTTCATGTGCTTGCTCTGTAATCAGGATGACAAGAGCTTGGGATCCCAAGAACCCCAACATCCATGGGCCTCCATACACATACTAACTTATCCATGAACACATGCACATGCATGCATGTGTGCTCACCCCCCCCCACACACACACTTAACAGACAACAGCAGGCCACTTTATTAATTTCTGACTCCTAACTAGGAGACAGAAATCTCTAGAGTTCAAAGGGAAGTTTTCTTTCTTTATATCACCAGGTTAATACTCAATTTTGAAGACTATTTGTTTTCAAACAAGGCATTTAACACCTTTAGAACTTTGGGGCAAGATAGCTATTGCAGTTATATATTGCACTATGTAGAAAAAATAAACAATTTTAAAGGAGTATCTTTTACTCACTATGTTGCAAACACACATGGTAATAATTTCCACTGGCTGCCTAAGGCTAGAGGCTAAAGATGGAGACTGACTACTAGACAAAAGGTTTATTTCTAGGATGGCTAAGACATTTTAAATTTGACTTACGGTTGTACAATTAAGTAAATATACTAAAAATCCATGGAATTATATACTTTAAATATGTGAGTTGTATGATATCCATATTAGACACCTATCATTTACCTATTTCAAAACAATCTTCCTTCGAATGCAATATTTTCTCCACTGAACTAACCAATTAACAGACTTCATTCATATTCAGCCTCAAAACTAAAGGGACCTTAGCAACTGTGTTCTACTCATCCTCATTTTACATTTGCAAAAAGTCTTGGGACCAGAAGAACAGCTCAGTAGTAAAGCATGTGCCTACAACATGTCCAAGTCCCTGAGTTCTAATCCCCAAACTAAACCACCACAAACAAGGCAGGCAAAAATGTAGTCCTAAAATATAAGTGATCTTTGCAATGCTGACAGAAGATTAGAAACTCAATCTTTGCTAAATTCATTCACACTTGGCTTTTTTCTCAACTTCCTCAGTTTTATCCCTTTTCAGTCTTCATAATGTTCAACTATATTAACCAAGTAGTTCTTTTGTTCTCTTTAGTCCAATAGCTATTCTGCTTTCAAATTTCTCTTTTACTGTGTGGTCAAGTTATTTTATCTGCCAACACTTAGGAATGAGCCCTTTATATTACTTTCCCATTTCCCTATATGTATAATTGTATGTTCCCTGTGTGTGTGTGTATACCTGTGGTAAGTTAACATCTGGAGTTTCCTGATTGCTTTCTACATTTTTTCACTGACCCCAGAGATCATGATATGGGCTAAGCTGGCTACACCGCTTGCTCAGGATCCTGTCTTTGCTTCTGAGGACTGGAATTCTAGGCAGGCTGCTAAACCCACCTGGCATTTATAAATACTGAGCTCAAATTCATACTTGCTCAGTAGGTGCTTTACCCATTGAGCCATGTGCCCAACAGCTCATGGACTGTTTACCTTCTGAAAATTTTTCTTCCCTAAAGACAAACTATATTATTCTAAGGTTTACATAGCATCCAACACACTTCTGGGTAAAACTCAACCACCATAATGGCTTACCAGGGTTTATAGTAAACACTTGAATCAATCACTATAAAATATACGCACCACAGAAAAAACAGTGTTTCAATGTTAACACACACACACACACAATTTTATTCGGCATACTATTCTTGTCCTACCTTGAAGTAATCATCTTGAGTAACAAGAGAGTTTCTCAGTCTGTTCTCAGGGTTAAATAGACAAGAGACCACTGTCTGTATGCTTCGGTCCACAGACTTCTGAAACAGAAGTTTAAAGACTACATCTTTTACTCACTGCTAGTGGCTTTTTGAAAGTATACTGAGCATATACATTTCTAAGAAAATCTTTCATAATGTCAAATTCTTACCACTAATTGTTTATTTTATATGTAGTCTTCCTAAATTAATGTTTTACTATCTCAGCAAATTTAAATAGCTATATTTATTAAAATTGTGGTATTTTGCTTGAAGGATTTATTTTTTCCTATTACAGAAGGAATAAAAAGTTTTAATATTTCAAAAACCAGTATTCAGGGTGATATCTGTTAGTATAATTGTACAGTAAGCTATTTTAATTTTATATGTCTATTTATTCGTGTGAAGTTTTTTGAGGCAGAGTCTTATGTAACCCTAGGCTTTCCTCAAATTGCCTATGTAGCCAAGACTAGTTTTGACCTCATTTTCTTTCTACCTCTCTACCTCCAAAGTGCTAAGACTACAGTTGTACATCACTGTGCCCTTATTTTCAAATTTTATGACTGTGCATGAAATCAGGCAATTTTTTATCCTATCCTATTGTTCAGCAGTTTTCTTCTGTTTTTTTTTTCCGCTAACACACACAGATGAAGGATCTGTCCAGTGAAATCTTTCATTGCACACATTCCCAACATTTCAATTGCATTACTCATTCAACAATATGAATTAGAATTTTGGGGTGAGAATATGAATGAAGAAACGACTGTCTAGTTCAGTATTAAATAATCACCATTTAAAAAGCTAAAGCCTTGTATATCACAGAATACCATAAATGCATATTACTATTTAGCTAAATAAAAATTTTAAACTATAAAAGACACACAAATATAATTCATACTGATTGTAGACACCTGGCCACTGAGTTCTACTAAGTCATACTACACAGAACTGTAACTAAAATATGATTTAAGAAAAATGTACTTAAAAGAGAGGATATGACAAAGGCATCAGAAACTCTCAAGGTATGGAGTGTCTGAGATAGTATTATCTTGTACATTAGTTGCAGAGTTAATTTTCCTAAGCTCTGCAGGTTTTAACTTTCATTTTTAAATCTGGGTAAGTAGGTCTACTCAAAGAATCATTATTAATACAATATTAATACATAATATGAAACTAAATATAAAAACCAGTAAACAAAATTAGATGTTTGCCTTTTGTGGGCCATTTCCAGAGGCTGGAGTAGCTTCATGAACTGAACATTCATTTGGCAGAACTTCAGCTCCTGAATCAACTTCACTGCAGTGGTAGTTAACAGCTGTATAAGCCTATATTTAAAATGATAAAAAATGTGTAACCAACAAGAAACACAATACACTTTTAAGTCATTCTTCAAAAGGCTAAGCTGCTATTTTGGAAACTGTTTTACACTAAATGTCTGATATTAAGTCTTTTCTTTTAAAATGTCTTCTGTCAACATCAGTACAAGCTGATGTAACTGTAACATTTAGTAACATGGAGTACTCAAGAATTCTATTGGTATATATTTTTCAAATATCCAATCTTTATCTTTATGGAAGTTAACAGAAGCTTGGGTGTTTTATAGGTAGCATTTTATTCCTTTTATAAAATAATATTAATGGTAAAATATTTCTCTCCTGTATTATTTTAGTTGCAAACTCAAGAGGCAGAGTCCAGGAACAAATGCTAACTCTGAATTCAATATTTATTACTACTTTCCTTGACTTATATATCATGGGAACAAGTAACCAAAAACTTGTATATGAAGCATACATTGATCAGGCATATAAAAATAATATAAAAAACAAAAAGCAGTTTCTCTCTCATGAGAGTCTATAACTGAGATAACAACAAATAATATAAGTAGACAATTAAAATATTTGTAGACATATAAAATATGGAATATATATTAGAAAAAGTCTAAGACTAAGCAGAGTATGTTCAGCTAATTCGTTTTACCGGAGGTATAACATAACTCCTCTGTTCCCCAGCCGGCCACTGCGGTGGCATCTTAAGAAAAGGAAACACAGATTATTTAAACACCTACACATTTTTACAAAAGAGGCGATAAGACAATGTTAAGATGTTTATCATGCTGACTCTTTAATTTCTTATTAAAAAACAGAACCAAAGATAGGTACATTTATGCTTCTATTATTTATGCATTTTTTTCAGTTTCTTCCATATATAAACTTCACATTTCTCAACTGTAAGCTGGCATTCAGGAAAATTTAAGGACAGTGGCACTTGGAAATTATTACTACAGATGTGGTCATGGTCATTAATATGATCACATCTACTGGAAGAAATTCATGGAACTACTATTTTGTAACAAATTATACACTATCACTCAGAATTTGGTTGCTAAGCACTGGGTAGTATTTTTATTTCAACCTATCCTATAAAAACTTGTAAGTCAGCCTGAACTTTTCAGGTATTTGGGGAAAATGAAAGAATGCATGTTGAAACAAGAACAGAAGACACTGTCTTTGTAAGCAGTCTCTTTTTTCTTGTCAAAATACTTATCTCTAAATAACATTGGTGCCTGAATTATAGACTAATTCTACTTTGATTTAACTTAAGATAGGTTAAATAGCACATTATGTAGCAATTTCACATAAAGACCATAATAATATCCAAAGTTATTTTACATTCCCTTAAATTATTTGATAATTCAAATCCCCCCCCTTTAAGGGCTCAGTGAACCCTGCAGAAGAGAAGGCAGAAAGAGCATAAGAGCCAAAGGGGATGGAGGACGACACCAGGAGAACAAGGCCCTCTTACATGATCAAAGCTCATATAAAACTCACAGGGACTGAGGCAGAATACACAGGGCCTGTACCAGGTCCTCTGCCTATATATCAGAGATTCCAGTTTATTGTATGTATTATATTCCTGAATGTGAGAAAAAATGGATCTCTAATTCTTGTGATTTCTCTTGGGCTCTATTCCTTCTTTCTTCCCCTAACCCCCAAATTCAATTTTGTTAGGGTAATTTTTCTCTTCTTACACTGTTAACCCTTTTGTGGTGGACTGAATGAGAATGGCCCCATAGGCCCATAAATTTGAATGCTTGGTCACCAGGGAATGACGCTATTTGAAAGGACCAAGTGGTCTAGCCTTGTTGGAAAAAGTGTATTGCTGGGGATGGGCTTTGAGGTTTTCAAAAGTTCATGCCAGGCCCAGGGGCTGTCCTGCTGTTTCCATATCCAGATGTAGAACTCTCACCTAATTCTCCTGCATGCTGCCATGCTAAGAATGGACTAAACCTCTATAAACTGTAAGCCAACCCCAGTTAAATGCTTTCCTTTGTAAGAATTGCTGTGGGCATGGTGTCTCTTCACAAAATGAACACTAAGACACCACAGAAGCCTGTTTATAGGGAGTGTATCCGGATGGGATGAAGGGGGGCAGAGGCTGTGAGGAGTGCAGAAAAGGGAAACCACAATCAGGATATATATTATGTAAGAAAAAAATACATTTTAAATTAAAGGAAAAAAATACCTGATAATTATAAACAGGCAGCTGATATCCAGTGATAACTTGAACTGGTGAACTTGGATAAGGAGGGTATGCCTTGGAATAAAGTTCACAGAAAAACTGAATTGTTAAAATAAATTTGAGAAATCACAGAGTATCATTCACAATACAACAACAAATGTAATTTTTCTCTTTACTATATATATCAACTCAGGAGTCTAAATGACAGGCTTTATGAAGAAAATACTTGTCAAATGATAGCCTATTGCACAGGAAGGAGGAAAAGACAATATTAAGTGACTGCTTCTCCAAGCCACCATTCACCTTAGGAAGTCACTGTACCCTGACTATACATACAGTTCTATGGGGAGTTGAATATACACACCTTCTGTTGCTTTATGAAAATACTGTCACAGGATATGTATTCATAGCAAGGTGAACAGAACAGATAATCTCACTTTTCTACAGCCTTATGATTTTTCTGTGTTTTATTTCTTAAAGGGAATTACTATCTGAAAACAAGTAGAAGCATACACAAATGCCTTGTATCGGTAATGATTCACAGTAAATGTTAGGAATAAATACAGATTTTCTTCTAAGTCATATTTGGAGCAAGAAAAATAAGGAAAGATAGTCTTTATTTCACACACACAGAAAAAAATATAAAGTCTTTTATTATTCTTTTACTTTTCTGGCCAAAAGTCTCTCAAATTGAAAAAGTAAAATGTACCAAGAATGTTATTTAGCATCAATAGGCATAGTAAGCATGAAATATAAATATTAATCCAGCTCAAATAAAATTCAAGAAATGTATGATTTATAGATAAAATCTAACAATTCTAGAACTAGAATAAACCTAGGTGTCAACAATCTATACATGAGGCATTTAGAAATCACTGCAGGTAAAACACAGATGAACTGATCATCTTTGGAAAGAATCAACTAAAAGGACATAGGAAGCCATTTCTGAACATTCAAAGAACTTTTTCAATTTGAAAAACTTTTTTGCCAGCAAAGGAAAGGTAGCAATAAAATTCTTCTATATATACTTTTTCTATGTGTCTGAAATAATAGACCTGTGGAACAAACAGAACATTTAATGTGGCTACCAAGGTTCTAGGATAAAGGCTTACATATTACAGAGGCAGAGTTCAGCTTAGCATAAGGAAACAAGCACTAAGAATGAGAGAGTATAAACAAAAGGAACCATTTCCTCAAATTTTAAGTATTCCAATAAGGACTGGACTGTTTTACCCTTAACATCCAAAACCATATATATGATTTCACAGCTCCAGAAGACTATTAAACAAACCTAAGAACAAGAATGCAGGTGTTTTTACCTGAACATACTGAGTTATAGGATTCATCATGGTTGGAGGCTGCATGTATGTCTCAGCATTTGGACTACTCCAAACACTCGGAAACTGTGGTGGTGGTGGAGGATTAAAAATCAAAGGACGTGGCTGCACATGATAAGCACCTTTAAAAAAAATAAAAAGAGCAAAACTAAAGTTCTCTGAAAACCTAAACAGTTTCATCAAGTACAATTTCTGCTTTTACTCACATAAATTTTGTTTCCTGATTGCAGGGCCCAGTTTCAGCTTTTTACCATGGAAATTTATCTGTGACTAAAGACAGTAACAAACAATAATTTAATCCTTCATTTCCAAGACTTGGGCAAATACTACTGTGTTCAGCCTTATAATTCTAATCAAACTGTACCAAAGCATCAAGTTAAATTTAGTAAAGTCGTTCATCCCATTTCTAACTGTCTTTAGTTGAGGCCCCCAAGCAAGCAGGTTCTGTCAAGCTACATAAGAATATTTTGATTTTAAACAGAAAGGAAGCCTACTTTTCTCTGTATTTTATATAAAAACTGAACATTCAGCACTTTTCAACTCTAAAGCATTGCTAAAGAAGAGTTTTCTGTAAGACTATTACTTACTTCTACTATCTTCTGCACATCCACGTCATTATAAAATGAAACAAATCCATAGCTAGAAAGGCAGACAAATGAAATACAAAATGATAACTACATAGTACCACAGTTTAGACCTTCTAACATTCTATAAAATAGCAGCAGTGGCGATAATGGAAGATGAATATACTGTGATAAACATGATGAGACATAGATAACAGAGTCTCAATAAAGACACTTTGTTTTCTTGGTCTAACATGTCAGAATGTGGTAATATTAACATTAACTAACAAAGATTATCTAGGGCAAGACAGCTAAAATTTAAGATACTGTGAAATGTGCAAAGAAAATAATTATTTGATAACCCATTTGTGTGAAATAAAGATAGAAAATACTGAAATACAAATACTAGGAAAATTAAATAAAAGAACGGATTTAAAAAAAAACCTTCAGCCATAACATTATCAAAAGCGATACTTTCATTAATGGTAGACTTCCTGCTGTGAGTCTTGTCTGTTTTGCTGGCATCTCTCCAACCAGCCATGCATAGTTCCATAAACAGTAGCTATAGCAGGTATGTTTACCTACCCCTTCGACACACCAGTTCGATCAGTGATTATCTTCACTTCTTTTACTGAGCCGTATCTGGCAAAGAAACTCCTGATTTCGGTTTCATCCATCTATGAAAAGAAATGAACTTCAAGAGTAAAAATAAGGCATTCAAGACTTCTAATTGAACTGTGAGGAGAGATTTGATTATGTGCAAGTCAATCTCTGGTATCTCTAAAGTATTCCACTTTGTTGAGTGTATTTTTAGTATCTGTGGGTTAAAAACCAAATTTAAAACAATGAAAAACCCCTTTAGGTCTAAACATCAAATCCCATCATCCACAACATAAATAATTAAAATTTATCGAGCCTCTCAAATATGTTGCCAGGGCTCCTTTTGAAGTCCTAGGCTCAAGCACTCCTCCCACCTCTTCCCACCCAAAACAATATATTTTAAAGTATAAGCAAAGTATGAATACAATACCCTAACATCAATTCCACCAACAAAAACGGTGTTTGGCATGATTTTGCCTTCTGGCAAAACATATCCTTGACTGGTGGCTGCTGATGAAGACTGGGTGCTGGCCTCCCTGGAGACAGCTGAATTTGGAGTCTCAGGAGTTGTAGCAGACTGTAATTTAGAAAACAGACAATTAAAACACACACACACACACACACACACACACACACACACACACCTCAGTGTCATCTTTTTTAAAACAAGTGTGATCATCCAAGTAAGAATAGCACTCATAGGCTCACAGATTTCTATGCTTGGTTATCATTAAAAAAGGAGGTATGTCCTTGTTGGAGGAAGTGTGTCACTGGAGTTGGGCTGTTTTTGTTTCCTGAAACAGTTTCTCTGTGTAGCCTTGGCTGTCCTGGCCTCAAACTCTGAGTGCTGGCCTCTGCCTCCTGAGTGCTGGGATTAAAGGCATGTGCCAACACTGTCCAGCTTGGAGTTGGGCTTTGAGAAAGGCCCAGAGGCTCTCTTCCTGATGCCTGTAGACAGATGTGGAACTCTTCTACTTCTCCAGCACCACTTCTGCCTGAGTGCTGCCATACTTCCTGTCACTATGATGATAATGAACTAAACCTCTGAAATTGTTAAGCAAGGCCCAGTGAAATGCTTTCTTTTGAAAGAGTTCCTGTGGGGCTGGTAAAACCCACAGAAACAGCTGACCTGAACAATGGGGCGTTCTTGGTCCTCAGACTGATAGCTGGGATACCAGCATGGGACTGATCCAGACCCCAGGTACCTGGTGTCAGTGAGGAGACCTTGGAAATCTACAGGACCTCCTGTAGTAGTTCAGTACTTATCCCTAGCACCTATGCTAGGCCCTAATTCAAATAAAGAAAAAATAAATAAATAAAATAAAAAGAGTTCCTGTGGTCTCCTCACAGCAATAGAGCACCAACTAAGACAACACATTTCATTTTGCCTGCTTGCATGTGTGTGCACCATGTGCATGCTGAGTGCCTGCAGAAGCCAAAGAGGGAGCTGGATTTTCTGGAACTGAAGTTACAATTCTGAGCTGGCATGTAGGTCCTCTTCCAAGAATAGCAAAAGTGCTATTAACCATCTCTTCAGCCCCTTATGTCATCTTTCATACTATATTGTGAAACAGTAACAACTTTATTTCATACAATACAATGAAAAACCCAAAATAAGCAAGGCAGCTGTTCAAAACCCCAAACAAAAAGTATCTCTTATATAAGTCATTTTACTTTGCCTTTCTATTATCAAATTAACATAAATTTTATTAACTTTAACACTCCCATAGTATGCCTGACTGACTTTAGGAGTAAGTTGGCTATAAAAGTATTACTGTCACATCTTATTTTCCTCTTCCCTAACATTGCCATGTTTAATGCATGTTTTGAAATAGCACTTGTTTCTTGAGTAACACCCGATCATCCCTGCTGGCAACTTTAAATTTTCATAGTCGGTTGGTTAATAGAAATAATACCATCTTTTGTTTTCAAATAAAGAAACCTATACATACAACTCATTTTTTTTCTGGATTTTGATCCATGCTGTTTTTCAATCTTCACACAGTAGACTCTAATTGGTTAACATGAATTTTCCTAAAGCAGAACTTATTGGGAATATGAGTATAGTAGAGACAATATAACAAAGCACTGACTTAGTCAAGATACCTAGATTCATGTACCTTACACTAAGTTATAAGTTGCATACCCACTGAAGTGTATCCCTGGGAAAATTACTCTGAGAATGACTAACATTGCTAAACTTGGAAGCTATATATAGTATGCTAATATGAGTTAGTGTCCTATATTTGAATTTATTTTTGATGGATTACTATAAAAGGGTTTTTTTTTAATTCTTACTATCACAGCTGACTTTTTACAAGTACTTTATTAACTACTACTGGAACTTTAGTAAACTACTATACGATATAACCACTCAAAATTTATTTATGAAACTGATTAGTAGGAGGATAATACTACAAGTTTTAAGGGAATGCTAGTATATATCATTTGTATATTATATGTAGTAAAAAGCTAAAGGTGGCAATTTGTTTTTAAAAGGTTAATTTTATAAAAATTTTGGAATTCAATTAAAATTGCCAATAACTCCTTGTTTTTCCTCTATCCACTTAAGCTCATATTTTGTGTTCTGACTTAAGAACCTTATTCCTTTGAACAGTAAATTCCCTTCAACAGTGATATTTCACGACAGTGAAATGGCAGGGAGCAAAAAGATCATTTTTAAAGTTTTTTCCCTCTGCTAATGCCTTACAATTTTTTTCTAAGTGGGATTACTGCATATGCTATGTGTCTTCAACTATTTACAACTTGACTACATTTGCATTCCTAACACATAATCTACTCATCTCTTTTCCATTTTTTTTCATTCAAAAATAAATTTAAAACATAAAAGAGTGGTTTTGTAATTTTTCTCAATTTTCCCTTCTTTTACGAATGAACATAGGACAATTCGATAAATAATTTTTATTACTGGTATCTGTACCACAATGTACGACGTTTTAAATTTAGAGGTGCACTATTTCACAAGTTAACTGTGTCAGAGTCTAAGAAGTTCTAAATGCACTGGTTCTCAGTGCTACATGAACACTAATCTCTATAGAGACATTTCTGGATATCACCAGTGAGGTCAACTTCTGACATCTGGTAGGTAGGCAGCCAGGGATTCTACTTCAAAATCCCATAATGCCAACAACACCCCCCTCCCACAGCAAAGGATTGCTAGAACCAAAACCTGTATGAGGATGCGCTGAAAATTCTGTTAGTTATGGTTCATTTGAATCGAAGAGGGAAGAACTTGATTTTTCATTGTTCAATAAAGCAACTGTTTTCAGGATCTTGATTTTTTTCCTTGATTGAAAATTAATTGGAAAAGATCTCAAATGTCTTCTAATTGTTTTCTTTACACAAAAGTAAAATGGATGCTTGAGGACAATTTAATAAGGAGGAAAATAAAGCCTTAGGCTTCCTGCTTAATTAGGATTAAGTATAAAGTTCCTCTCATCTTAATAGTGTAATAATGTATTAAATTCAGGAAGGCACACCATATCCTGGTCCTTATCCAGTAGGTGGCACTCAAAGCTAACAAAGCAAAGTCCTCCATTTTAACAAGCTCTAAACCACAGGCAGAGTGCCTACTGAAAACACCCATAACCAACAGATGGTTTGATTACTTTTTAAACATGATCAAAACTACTCTACAACCAAATAATCACTAAGACAAAATTTAATGTTCAAAGATAGTGCAATTTCTAAACTTCATTTACTTAGAGACTGGGTCTTGTATGTATGTAACTGGTGGGCCCGAAGCTTCTTATGCAGATGTGGTTACCCTCAAACTCATGGAGTTCCACCTGCCTCTGCCTCCTTAGTATGATTACTTAATTTTAAAGACAGTGTCTCATGTTGCCAAGGTTGGCCTGGGAGGTTAGCCTGAAACTACTGAGGGGCTCAAGGGATCCTCCTGCCTTAAAATATACTGAGCCGGTAGAAAAGTGTCGTGTAATCCATCAATAGGATATAACATAGCATACTAAAAACAAACTATTGAATGTAAGAAGATTTACCAATTCTCTTTGTAAAGGAATTGTGGATTTTGAATTGGGAAATACTAGGATACCAACAATGAACTTGGAGGCTATCATACACAAACTCTCCACAGTACAGCAACATCCCATTACACTTGAATACTGCCCCCCCCATCAAAAATAGCTCAAAGCTGAGAATATGGTTACTAAAAATTTTAGGATAATGTCGCCTAAATTTAATTAAATCACCATGTTAAGCAAATTGCCATGTACGTTACAAATATTGGCCAAGATAGTTTGCAGTCATCAAATGTCTAACTCTAGAAGTGTGAGAAAACTGTGCACAGTATTTATAATACTGTGATTTTAATTACTGAGATGGACAACTTCTAATTTCACAATTCCGAATATTTACATTAAACTGTCCAACTCAATTTTATCATTCCTCACAAATGATATAGATTTTCTTTGTTCACCCCTAAAAGGTTGGGGGGGGGGGGGGGT